TAAAATTAAATATTACTATATTATAATCCTTATTTTTAAATATTATCAAACAAAATTTTATTTAAATATTTTAAAATGTAAAAATATAGATCATAAGTATATTTTTGTTAATTTTACAAGCAAATTTGTCTGGAAATAGTCTACAGTTTAAGAGATAAATATATTAATAAAAGAAACTATTAATTTTTAACTAATATATATATAAAAGATGTAATAATAATATAGTAGAAATTGCAATACAAAAAGTTTAAAAGACAATATCTATAGATATAACAACTAGTATAAAATCTATATAGGCTAATTACTTAAATTAGATATCTAAACAATATATATAATTAGTTATATTTTAATATAAAATAGTTTTTAAGGTTTTTAGTTGAGTTATTATATTTTATAATATTATATAATAAGTTCTAATTTTTAAAAAAAACTTAGAAGCTTAGAACATCTATATAAAGTATAATATTATATATATAGAGAGAAATACTTACTAGTATTATATAAGACTTTAATGCAAACTTGTGATAAAAATACCAAATATAGAAAACTAAAAAACTGAGATAATAGAAACTTACTTGAAAATTTTTAAATAAAAAGGTAGCATAAATTTTTAATAGTATTATCAGATTAGTTAAAATCTACAAACTAATTTCAATAAAATAGATTAAATAAACTAAATACAAAATATGTATAAAGAAGCATATAACAACTAAATTGCCAAATTTGGCAAAGAAAAATAATACAAAAGTATATTATACTAAACTATTTGAATTAGTAGTTTGATTAGAATCTATCAGTTCTAAGTAGTGATTAATAGAAAATAATTAAGAAGATATTAAAAAAAAATAAATAGAAGTTTTAGTAAACTTTACAAAAATAAAAATAATATGCTATAGTAATTAAACAAATAACTTCTATGACTACAAGTATTAGATAAACTATGTATAAAATATAATAGATTTTAGTAAATCTCTTTTTAAAAATAAAGTAATCTTAAGAGTACTGATAAATATTAAGAACTTAAATAGACAGTACTCTGAAGATGCTTTTGTAATACAAGAAAATTACATATGCAGAGAGTTTAAATAAGTAAGACCTAAAATTGAATTGCAGAAATGATATCTAATATAGAACCTATAATTGGCTTTTAGGTATAACATTTAGTATAGAACCTGTATAGTAATATATAGGTAAACTATTTAAATTAGATACCAAAAGTGCATATATAGTTAGTTTAATCTTTAATATAAAAAGGCTTTTAGAGGCATCTGTATCTAACAAAATCTTGAATAAAATAGTTGTTTTCCAAAGTAAAGATTTTAACTTAAAAAAAAACTATTGTAATAAAAAAATAAAAATTATTTTATAATACTAAATTATTTTATTTTATTTTTTAGTTTTAAAGTAAATTTAGCTTGTATCTTTATTAATAGCTTTGAGATTAGTAATTATATAAAGTTATTGTATATAAATAGTAATTCTATAAAATCTATAATTAAAGCTAATATTTACAATTAGAACTAATTATTAAACTACTAATTATATTTAACTAATTCTAAATACAAAGACCATTTTAGTAGGTTTAGTTTACAAATAAACTTTTATTCTTAAATATAGTTTTTTAATTAAAACTTCTCTAAATTTAAATAATTAAATAAAATATTATATTTGATCTAAAGAATAGTCTATATATTAATTTTTTTAATAGTATAACTAATAGATAGATATATAGTATATTAGTATTAGAATGTACTTAGTTAAATAGTTTATATAAACAAAAATATTTATATATTTACTATATATTTAGTTTGTTTTTTTTTATAATTCAATTGTATTAATAATTTAAAATAAGAAGATTTATGTTTTTTTGTTTTTTTTTAATTTAAAAAATTTATACAATATAATTTTCAGAATTGCTCATAATATAGTTTATTAATTTTAAAAAATATTTTATAATAGTTTTCAATATCAGTTTGTAAAGAATATTAAAGTTTTAAATAGTTTGAATTAAAGATTTAATTATAAGGCTTTTAAGTATAATATCAAAATAAATAAAGTTATAATAGAATAGTATATAATTATTTAAGTTTTTGATTATATAACTTAATTGATTTGTCTTTGCTAACCTAAATAAACAGTTTTAATTACCTATTATCTAAATCTAACAACTATTTTGTAAAGTTACCTAGATTGTTAAACAGTTTTAATTACCTATTATCTAAATCTAACAACTATTTTGTAAAGTTACCTAGATTGTAAAACAGTTTTTTAAAAAATTTACAATATTAAAAAATTTTATCAGTGTGTTAGTAATTATATAAATAAAAATTTTAGTTATAGATAGTTTTATTTGTGAGATATTTTGTAAACATAGTAATAGACAAAACATCTTTATAAACTTAAAATATTATTGTAGCTTTTTGTAACACTAAACAGAAAGCTACTATGTATAAAAAGTAATATTAAAAAATAAAAATGCATGAACAATGCATAGTTTTTTTTATTTTCTTATATTACTTAACTTATAAATAGGAACAAAATATTAAAATATTTTTTGTCAAAAAAGATGAAGTACAAAAAATTTTAAAACTTGTTAATTTAAAAGAAATTTAAATTAAAATAATGTTAATTTAAGAAAAAAATGAAGTTTCCAAGTTTTTATAAATTGAAAGAAATTTTTCTTAATAAAAAAAAATGTATTAAATTTCTTTTTGAAACAGAAATTTTGAAAAAACTAACTGAATGTTTGTATTGTAAATACAAAATATTATATTTCATTTCGACTTAAAAAATTTTTCATTGTGAAAATTGTTTAAAAGAAACAATTTCAGTTTATAAAAACACTATTTTTTATAAATATAAACTGAAATGTAATGAAATTTTGTTAATCGGATATCTTTGGCTTCTAAGAACAAGATATACAACAATTCGATTATTTACAGAACATAAAAGAGGCACTGTAATTATATTTATAAAAATGTTTAAAAATATAGTTGTAAATAGTTTGATTAATGAAGATGGTAAAATAGGAGAAGAAAAAACAATTGTTAAGATTGATGAATCAAAATTTCAATCTGGTGAAGATTGGTGGATAGTCGCAACTGTTGAAAGAACTAAATTATGAAAATGTTTTTTTAAAATAGTACAAAATAGAAATACCAATATATTGAAAAGATTCATTAAAACACATATACAAACAGAATTAACTATATATAGTAATAGTTGGAAAAGCTATTCAAATCTAGAAAAATTAGGTTTTAAACATAGACATGTAAATCACAAGAAACCAAATAAAAGTCAAACTTTAAAGAGAATTCATACTTAGCATGTGGAAGGTTTGTGGCAAGGTACTAAAATAAAGCTTTTAAAGAGAGATACAGTTAAAAAAAGCTTAATTTGCATTTGAAAGAATTTGTATTTTGAAGAAACATGAAGCAAAATTATGGGAAGGGTTTATTGAGGCAATTAAAAATTACAAAACATAGTTATTTTTTTTATTAAATAATTATTCTATTTTATTTAAATAAAAAAGAATTTGAGATTATTTAATTATGTAAATTAGAAGTTTAGATATTTGTTTGATTGGTTCAATACTTGTTTTAATAAAAAAATATTTACTTTATTTGGCAAAATTAATTTTAATAAGGATTTTTTATTTAACTACTGATATTTTATATACAATGATAAAAAAATTCTATTTAATTTACAAATAACAAATGCCTTCTATTATTAACAAAATTAAAAAACTTTTTTTAAACCTATTAAAGACAAAACTTTTGATAAAATTGTTTTTATGATGGCATCTTCAAATACACCAGGTTACAAATATTTAAAGTTTTTTAAACCAGAACATCATATTGAAATTGCTGGTTTATTAAAAGAAAGACCTATTTTAAAAGATATTATTACTCTTGTTCTTCAAAATTCTGACTGTGAGCAAGAAATTTTAATTGAAAATAAAGTTAAAGCAATTTGATTTGATGATTCTCAAATGTTTGATTTTGAAAATAAAAGAGATGTTAACAATGGTTGGTTAATTACAGATGAAGGGTCTGAATGGTTTAATGTAAAAGAATTAATGTTTTTTATAGGAAGATATTTTAAAAATTATCGTTCAATGTAATTTACCTGAAAATTTTTATTTTTAATATATATATCTTTCAGGATATGTTTTTATTAAATAACACCAAATACAAATATTAATAATAATAAATATTAAATAAATTATTATGCTGATAATAAAAAATTTTTTTGAATAAATAGTTTCAAATATGAAAGTAAAAAAATCAAATTTGTCAATATTGTTAACTATTAACAAACCAAAGAGAATAATAACAGTAAGAATTAAGTAAAAGAATCGCATTTTGTTTAATAATTATTAAATAATTTTTTGTAAAAAATAGGTTTTGTAAAATAATTTTTAAGAATATGTAAAGGTTAAACGAATAAATCATAAAGAGAAAAAAAACATTTTTTACTTAGTTTTTATTGATAAAAAATTTTAGCATAACTGAATTATATTTGCAATATAAATTATAGTTTAATTTTAATGTATTCATTATATTGTAATTGACTAAATATATGTTTTATTTTATATTATTTATACATAAATCGACAAAATATATTGGTAGTTTAATTTTAGATTACTAATTTATACAAAATTAATTTGAAAATTCATTCAAATAACATATTACTTTAATAGTAACTGTACCGATTAAGATTTTAAACTTAAAATTTATCAGTAAAAAGTACAGATTAAGATTCAATATAAAAAAATAAAATAGAATTATTCTAAATTAGAAAACTGTAATAGGATTTGTGATAAATTATAGGATAAAAAAATAAAAAGATGGCACAAAATAAAGTATATTCAAATAGAGATAAGAGATGCAATTGCTTGAACCACAACCCTGTTGAAAATCCGACTTGCAGCTGAATCTTGTCCAGCACAAATCAGCAATCACATTTAAATTGTTGATTTTTTTTTCCTATATGTGTGTGGATGCAGACTGACACTTAGCCCCATCCATGTGAATATTGTTTGCATTCACTCAATCACTATTCAGGCTCACTGCATTGTTGTTGTTAACAATTGATTTTGAATTTTGATTTTGATACCAAAATCAAAATTAAAAACTCTAATTGTTAATAACCTATTGTAATTATGTTCTTGTTTTTAAAATTTTTTAAGTAAAAAAAGTATTTAAAACTTTGATTATATTATAAAAATATCAATACAACTAGATAACTTTAATTTACAATTAATGACTGCTACAACTAAGCTTTTAAGATAATGAAATATCACATTGCTTGCTGATAAGGAACAATTAATTTGAGAAAATAATAAATTAAGAACCAGAATCCAAGAAGTTGAAACTAACAATATTCAATTGACTGAAGAAAATAATAATCTAAAAGAATTAAATAATGCATTAAAGCTTATATTAAGAGATGCTGAAGATGAGAGAGATTACTACAAAGCAGAGAACTTAGAAGAGTTTGACAATTTTATCTCAAATTATATATTTGGACTATTCAATAATCTTGTTACATAGGTGCAATTTGAAAATTAATACTTGACAAATGTTATGAATTTTTTGAGATTTTATAATTTCTTTCAAATACCAGTTGTCTTTCACTATATTAAAATAGTTTACAAAAAGTTTTTGCAACCAATTTTTGTTATTCCTTATGTAAATTTAACAGAAATGAAAAGAATTAGAGTTATAGAAGTTTTATTTATCAATATTATTACTGTTTATTTTGGTCTGTATTTGATATTTGCTGTGTTTGCAAAATGTGAATATGATTGTATAATATTTATATATTGAATAAAAATAATAACTTTATTGAATTGGTATTGAAATTTAAAGATTATTTTGTTTGTGATACTTTTTTTTTTCTTCACACCTCGCATGTGCTTATGGGGGGATATGATATATGTTTATAAGTAAGCATTTGTTTTGTATTTTTAGGGCTTTAACATCTTGACACAAAATGCATTTTACAAAATTACTAAAAACAAATTAGATTTAAATTTTATAAACTTTATTTATTATAAATTATTATTATTATATGAAAACTAATTATAACACATTTTTATTAAATAAATTTAAAATATTTATATTTATTAAAAATAAAATCTGGAATTACAGCATAAATAATTCAAGCAAACGAATCACAATTATGAAAACTAGTCAGCAATTATGTCCCTTATGAAGTAGCTGAGTGTGAAGAAATGAGAGTTAGCAAAGTTTATTATTAGAAATAAAAATTACAGGTCATTACTCTCTCTCACCTTGAATTAAATTAGTTAATTTATAAAATTAATTTAAGTTAATTATTTGTTGAATGTAGTTTTGATTTAGGTTTTTTAAATTTAATATTATTTGTTATGTTCTTTAAATATTGCTTTTTGTATTCAATTGCACAATTCAGAACAGATTTGTCTTCACAAGCTCCAGAAAAATATTTTTTGAGAATGATTTTATTTCTGTATATTTCAAAAACCTATTCTTTTCGAAATGTGTTATAATGAATATTCTGTATGCCTAACTTAGAATTTCTTATTATTTTTATAACTAAAAATTAGTTAAAAAAGAGAGGATTCAATGTGTTATTATAGTTTTTTTAATTTTATACACAGTAAAATATTGTAAACCAATGAAAATAAAATTACTTTTTTTAGAGAATATAATTAACAGATCTGTTGCTATGCTATGTGACACCAAATTAATTAAATTTTCCTTTTTAAGAATTAGATAATTTAAAGTTTATAAAATGAAACTTCATCAAAAAATAAAATATTTTTATGAAAATCAATTCAATTAATTTGAAATTTAATATGTATATTCTTTAAAGTCATCTGAATCAATTTTATTATTACTATAATGTAAGTTTATTTTTTTATTTTTTTTTTTTTTAAATGTTAACGGTGAGGCCATGCCTTTAACTTTATTGAAATTCAATTGAAGTTTTTACAAAGAAAAGCTTGCTTTTAAATTA